CGCAGCTCCGAGAGAGACCCGCCGTCCCCGGCCTGGCACACAGCTCCGAGAGAGACCCGCCATCCCCGGCCTGGCACACAGCTCCGAGAGAGACCCGCCATCCCCGGCCTGGCACACAGCTCCGAGAGAGACCCGCCATCCCCGGCCTGGCACACAGCTCCGAGAGAGACCCGCCATCCCCAGCCTGGCACACAGCTCCAAGAGAGACCCGCCGTCCCTGGCCCCTGCCTTGGCGTGCCTGTGCCACACTGTGCCATGGGGACGGCTGTCTGACCCAGCCTCGGCCACCCTTGAGCCGTGGGCCCTGGTGTGGGCAGGTCCGTGCTGGCGTGGCGATGGCAGGGCAGCTGGCTGCACATCCTGACCTTTGCCGCCGAGGGATGGCGGCTGCTGCGGCTCCCGCCCTCGCACCTCAGCCCCGGGTGTCAGCTCTCCTGCATCGAAGGTCTGTGCTGCAGGCTTCAGTGCTGGCACAGCCCCACGGCAAGCGCCCACAGGCTGTGGCGTGCTGCCCCAATGTGCTCTGCAGGCATTGCCACCCCGGGCAGGGACCTGGCCGTGCCACCACCTGGGAGCAGACGCCCAGGCAGAGGGGAGGACGCTGGCGGAGGGGTGATGATCCTGGGTTATCCCCTCCAGCTCTCTGGGCAGAGGCCACATTCGCAGCCCCTGTGCTCAGGGGCCCTTAAACCCTCCTGGCCACCTCCTTGCTCCCGGGTTCCCCTGTATGCCCATCTCCCCTCACCCAGTTCTGGTAGCTCACCCAAACCTGCTCGAGCTCCCTTTCCCGTGGGGCTCCCCGTCCCCTCCATCATCTTTTCCACAGGCTGAAGGCTCTGTGAGGGCTGCCTGGAGCGGGCTTTGGGTCAGGGGTGTCTGCCATGGGGCCAGGGGCGACCCGTGGGATGGGGGAGCTGCACCCAGGAGTGACCCCGGTGCAGGCTCAGGCTGGTGGGGGCCTGCAAGGCGGGGCGCAGGCAGCACAGGGAAGGAGCCTGGCGCTGCCTCGAAGGGGCCAGTGGAGAAGTGGTTCAAACTGCGAGAGCGGCAGCCCGGCTGCGGGAGCCCTGCCTGGGCTGGCCAGGAGCAGGTCTCGGGGGGAACGGGGGGTCCCAGGGCAGCATGGCCATATGGGGAGGGAGCCTGGCCCGGGCTGGGGCTCCTCTGCCCAGCGCCGGCTCGGGGCTGAGCAGAGCCAGGGGACGAGCATCCAGTCCCCGTGGACCCACAGGTGCCGGACAGCCAGGGTTTGCAGCAGGCGGGAGGAAGGAAGTGGTTGATGCTGAACCGTTGCTTTGCTGACCGTCCTGGTGCCGCAGGGAGCAGAGGGCTGGGCACGGGCCCGCAGAGCCCCAGGCATGGCCGTGTACTGTGTCGGCATTCGTGGCCGAGCCTCATGCACTGAGGGATGGGGACGGGCCAGCCCTGGCCAGGGAGGCAGAGGCCTTGACCCAGCAGTGCTGGTCTGGAGTGGCGCGGCTGGCCTGAGCGCATGGTTCCCTGCGTCTCCCTGTGCCATGGGGCAGCCAGTGCTGCCCTTGCTCCGTGCCCCGGGCTCCAGCCCCGTGTCCCACTGACTGCCAGGCTCTGGCGGTGGTGCTCAGCAGGAGTGGCTCGCGGTGCTGCAGCATTGCCCGGGGCGACCAGCCCCATCACGCCCCATGGGCAGGGCCAGTGACCCACCCGAGCCTGGGCCCCCGGGTGGGTGGCGTGGTGGGGTCCCAGGGGCTCCATCCCCACCACCCCTGCCCCGATGCGTGGAGGGGCTCAGGGCGGTCGGGTGGGTCCTGGCAGCGCCCAGCTGTGCGTTGAGGAAGCGGAGGTTTGCACAAGCCGGTGAGATACACGTGACCTGGGGAGCGCGGCAGGAGGAACCAGCAGCTGTCCCACACAGGGCCCCGGTCCCCGCGGCACAGCCGGCCATGGCCCCGTGGCTGCCCACCAAGGAGGAGAAGTATGGCGTGGGTGAGTGTAGGCTTCGGGGCTGGACGAGCGCCAGGCCCTGCTGGGCTCCCCGGCTCGCCGGAGGGGTGCAGGGCTGGCGGG